AGCTTAAATATGATCCGCGAAAGATCTAAATATTTTACCTACCTAATCGTTAATAACACATTTATTATTTTAGCGTCACGCGGGCAGTGCAACACCGCGCGTCACGTTACTAAGCACCTATCAGCATTTACAATAAATACACAAATAATACTGTTAATTAATGCTTCTTTTCAGTTTTTATATAACTATATTAAAAGTTGTGATTATATTTATTGTTAGATTAGCACAGTTTTTTCTTTCATCTTGTGGTCCCTGCTAACAACAATAAAATCAATGTGGTCCCTGGTCAAAAAAGGGTTGGGAAACCCTGATCTATTACTATAATAAACCTCTAACTGTCTGAACACGCATCACGCAAAAACTTGTGAACCGATTTGGATGGGACTTTTACTGACACATAGCTGATATTATAAGGAGTAACTTAGGCTACTTATAATTTAGGGTTCCAAGCAAAAAAATACCACGCGAGCGAAGTCACATGCAATAGCTAGTATAAGATAATAACCTAAAATAAAAATATAAAATATTTTTATATATATCATTCGTTTCGTTGAATAAACGAACTAATTTTTTACAATCAAATAATGTAACAGAAGCGTTTTCGCCAACAATTCTTGCTTCTTAAGTATAATTAGGGAGCCTACAATTAGCGTTTCGTCGCGTCGCAATAAATTTGCGGGATAAGCCGCGTTTACTGGGATTAATCTCCTGTGAGAGTCAGCGGAGCGCATTATCTTTGGAATTGGCGTGGATTTTGCACAAGTAAAGATGGCAGTACGGGTAATGTCATATGCCTATGTTTCAGTAAGCTTAGTTAAAATATTAAAAAAAAAAACAAGATGGATAAAAACAACGGTTTTTCTGCCTAGTAGTTTTAAACGTGGTAGAGCCATGCTGTAGCTATATTATAGTATATGGGATACCCGTTTCGTTGGAAACGATGCATTCCAACTTAGTCCTCTGGGGTGACAACACATCTGCATTTTGATTCTTAATCCAAGATAGTTGTAGATGCGTATTGACCACATCAACCACTTACCATCAGGTGGACTGCGTGTCCGTTTGTCACCTTATCTTATTTTTTTTATAGAATATCGTGACAAACGAGCACACAGTCCAGCTGACGGTAAGTGGCTGCTGTGACACATAGACAGCCACATTTATCCTCAATAAAGAATCAAAATGCAGATGCGTCGTCACCCGTGAGGATTAAGATAGAATGCCTTTTTTCCAGTAAAATGGGTCTCCGGTTCTCTACACTCACCATACGAAACACAGCAGTGTTAAGCTGGGGGGGACATATCGTGCACCTCTGTTAGCGCACACACTCGTATGCTGTCCCGTCTTGTTCAGATGGCTAGTCTCCGTTGAGACTAGCCGGATATTATTACAACAAGCCTTGGACTCAACGGAAAGGCGTGGTAAGGGTCTTACTGGTGACTAGAAACTTGTTGTAGCCGATTTTAAGATTAGAACCCGTGGCGTAGCAGCCAAATACCCTGATAATTGATGTTAAATCTTATTTAATTTTATTAGTTAAGATTATAAAAATGACTTAAGGTAAACCGACATATAGAAGACTAAATATAAGACTATGTATCTTGTCTTCTGAATACTATTAAAGCTATTCTATTTAAATTCTCAAATAAAAGTATTCTTTTTTAAATACTAACATACTAATTCAAGCTTACACGAGTACAAGTTGAAGAAACATGGAATAAATAACGAGCATTAGCTTCAAAAGAATAAGATATATAAGTGCCTGTCTAATTTTAATGGCAGTCTACCTTATTTATATCATTTATCTACTTACACTTGAATAGGTGGTAATTGTTCGCGACGGCCTGACAACGTTTAGAATCGAAGTGATTAAAGACAATATTAAAAGTGAAATCACCGACCAAATCGAGTGAATAATGTATTAATATAGTTTTACAGTGTGTTTACAACTCTTAATATATTTGTATAGAATGTCGTTTTGATAATAGTTAATATAAACAACTTTAATTATATAAGAAAAATATCGACCAATCACAGCGCTTCGTATCGTAGAACTTTCCAGAAGTTTTTAATTAACTGCGCAATAGTTTATACTAAAAATAATGAGAATAATTTTGTGTTCTAGAAGAGTTGTGAATGTGACATTTAGTTAGCTTATGGTGTATAGATTACGGAAGGAAGAAATAATTTGTATAATTAAACGCATTTGATAGTTATAGAAAAATTAAAGAATTAATGTGCCCAAATATTATGAAAATTTGGGACATTTCGCTTAATAACTTCTTAATTTGTTAATATATTGAGTAACCTTTACCATATACTGATAAAGGACAAAAATGCCGAATTTATGATGTATAGTATATTAGTGTAGGATTTAAACTTATATAGAAAATATTGCAATTTATGCCAATTGTATAGTGAAAATTTCATGTAATAAAGAGGCAAAGTGGAAAATGGCAAGGGGCTCACTATAAAGTATAGCCGAAGTCTACCTTATGGGCGCGAAACCCAGCAACGTTGTAGTGTGAAGAACTACCAGTGACAAACAGTAGTATCCGGTAGTAGTTGAAGTGACTAGCAGTAGTATATAGTGAATAGTGAAAGTGTTAGCTAGCCGAAAAAAGTGGTAACTGAAAATTCGCAGTTACATATAGTGAAAAAGTGTTAGCTAGCCGAAAAAAGTGGTAACTGAAAATTCGCAGTTACATATAGTGAAAAAGTGTTAGCTAGCCGAAAAAAGTGGTAACTGAAAATTCGCAGTTACATATAGTGAAAAAGTGTTAGCTAGCCGAAAAAAGTGGTAACTGAAAATTCGCAGTTACATATAGTGAAAAAGTGTTAGCTAGCCGAAAAAAGTGGTAACTGAAAATTCGCAGTTACATATAGTGAAAAAGTGTTAGCTAGCCGAAAAAAGTGGTAACTGAAAATTCGCAGTTACATATAGTGAAAAAGTGTTAGCTAGCCGAAAAAAGTGGTAACTGAAAATTCGCAGTTACATATAGTGAAAAAGTGTTAGCTAGCCGAAAAAAGTGGTAACTGATATTCGCAGTTACATATAGTGAAAGTGATAGCTAATCGCAGAAAGTGGTAACTGACAGTCGCAGTTACACAAGTGATAAAATCTGCTAGTTTTAATTGATTAATAGCTGCTAGTCAGTAGTGTAAGAAAACCAGCTACTACCAATAGATATTTTGATACTACCAAACAATTTCGAGAAATCTTTTGAAATATATAGTGACCAACCGATAGTGAACAACCGTAGTTGAACACCCATATTCAACAACCGTGGTCAGTAAACAATAGTTATAAAATTTCGCGACTAATCAATCAGGCGAACCGCTGGCCACTCCCTTGCTATTTGTATTTATAAATCGTGCATTTTAATTTTAAACCTCAGTCCACAGTATAGCAGCACCCGCAAAGACGGCATTAGAAGTATCCTCCGGAATCTACAGGTGTAGGACGTGAGCGACTCGCGGAGTATCTTCGACAACATTTACTCCGGAGAGTTACGCCCGTCCGGCACAGTAATTAAGTGGCTTATCGTATAAAAAGGCACCAATAGTGGATGAATAGAATATAATAGTTTACTAGGTAGCTGTATCCAAAATTCTACTCATTCATTCAAATTAATTTATTTATTTGTGAATACAGTGAGTTAGGTGTTAAGGCGGCTACTGACTTGCCTGCCGCAGAGGCAATCTAAGGTGTAGGAGTGGGGATGACCCTCAATTGCCTCCTTTTTTTTTCTTTAATTTTTTTGGGATTTTTGTCAAAATGACATGCCAATCTCATCATACCTTATACTAATTACTGCTAACACTATAACAAAATAAAAATGTATAATTGAGAGTACTAGTTAAATTACTAACCTAAAAAGAAAATTATACTAGATAGAGAAGATAATTATTCCGTCCTAGAAGCAAGCCGGAATAATCCTCTTGACATCTTTGATTTGGGGTTTGATAAAACCATTTACACTAGATCGACATCCAAAACATTTACGTTAAATTCTTTCAACACTGCCTGTCTATCTTTTTCATTCTTGACACACTCCATCAACAAATGGTAAACATCTTCGATTTTGTTGCATACATCACAATTCGGTGAATGTTTTTTTCCCATTAAAAAGCGAACTTTGCTGATGAAATATGACAAGAACGAAGCCTTAAGGCTAACTTAACAAAATTTCTGCTGAGATCACAATCATTAAACCAAGGTACGCGATAAGGCTCCCTTTGTATAGTTCTATACCAGATGCCTTTCGATTTAGATTTCCTCCTTAATTTTGATGTGTTTAGGCAAGCAGGGGCAATTTTCTTCATCGGTCCTGCAGCAGGGCCGCAGGGGCGCAAGAGCTTCTTTGCTCCCTAGATCAGCCCTGCCGCTGTCCAGTGTGTAGCGCAATTGGGCCAATTTCAATCAGTTCGTTTGCGTCTTTCGTGCGGAGCACACGTGTGAGTACAGGTTACTATGAACAACAATAAAGACCGTGAAGTTTGGACACGGGTGATAGAAGTGTATAAAGAGCGTCTTCTTCGCCCAGTATCTCCTTTTTGTCTTTTTTTGCGGTAGCACCGCAGAAAGAACATTATTTGAACGTGGTAACTTACAAGTAACATTACTGGGATTTGTTACCATCTACTCGGTACCTATACTTTCTACCTTTTTTTTTTTTTTTTTTTACGGGGGGAAATCCTCATGGACTACCTCCGCCTGGGGAAAGGCGGAGGGGCGTGCCGGACTCTTACCGGCTAAAACCACCCCGGTGTCTCCTCACACGTGCGCGTGGGGCCGCGGGAATCCAAATTCTTCCGCAGCCCCACACTAGTGCTGGCCCGGTCCGTCCAGGCCTCGTCTCCTGCACGGGGTAGTGAGGTGTTAAACTACCCCGTGTATCGCCTCAGGGGCGCGCACCGACACCCGCGCGCGCCTCCGCCTCGGGTCCATCGAGTAGGGGTGGCGGGGGCTTCCCCAAGTCCCTCGCCCCTGGACCCATTTATGGGGGCCGGAAAAGGGCGTTGTCCGCCCTTCTCCTGCGCCCGGTGCGCCTTCTGCGGCCAGGAAAGGGAGTCGAGATCTCCCTTTCCCGTTCCGCAGTTTCCTTCTGCGACATCACGTCCTCGCAGAAGGACACCACTGCATCCCACGACTCTGCGCTACCGACCATCTTCTGCACTAAGGCCGGCAGCGACAGATCGCCTCCTACTTTATTTGTGAGGACACGGCGCTGCTCCTCCCAAGCTACACACTCGGCGAGCGTGTGTTGCGCCGTGTCCTCCCCGCAATGGACGCAGTGGTGACACCGAGCGTCCGGCTCCCTGTCTATGCGGCGCAGGTACTTGCCGAAGCAGCCATGCCCCGACAGCACCTGCGTCACCCTAAACGACAGGGAGCCGTGCCTTCTCCCGAGCCAGTCGTCGAGTACTGGCCGGATCGCCTCGACGGTAGCGAGGCCAGCGGTAGGGCGCAGAAGCCTTTGCCGCCATTCCGCCACCAAGACCTGACGGAGCTCCTCTCGGCGCAGCGCGATCTGCCGCTGCACCGGCCTCGAGCCCCGTGCCCGCTCTTCCTCGCGCCATCGATATAATGACGCGAGTACTTTCGCCTCTAGGTCCCAGGGCGGGGATCCGGCCAGGACGCAAACCGCCTCGTAGGAAATCGTGCGATACCCGCGGACGACTCTGACGGCCATCGCCCTCTGCGGTTTACGCAGAATGGCGAGAGTGCTGGCCGTCATGTCCATCGCCCACACAGGGGCCCCATACAGGGCCATGGACCGCACGATTCCCACGTACAACCGCCTACAGGCGGCGCTCGGGCCCCCCAAGTTGGGAAGCAACGTTGATAGCGCGCCCGCTGCACCCATCAGCTTGGGCGCCAGCCGCCGGAAGTGGGGTCCGAATTCCCATCGGCTGTCGAGCACCAATCCCAGATACTTCATGGTGGACTCGACAGCTATCCGGGCCCCGCTGACCACGATGTGTGAACCCGGCGGCGGCGCGCGTCGAGGGCCATGGAACACCATGGCCTCCGACTTATTTAGGGCCACCTCCAGGCCCAGGCGCCGGATGCGGTTCACCACTTGTGACACCGCAGCCGTGGCAACCAACGCTGCTTCCCTGTGTGAACTCCCCCGGGCAGTGACGAGCGTGTCGTCCGCATAACACGTCAAGTCGGCGCCCGACGGGAGTTCACCTCTCAGCACCCAGTCGTAGCCGATGTTCCACAGGAGCGGTCCCAAGACCGATCCCTGCGGAACACCGCACGACATGACGCGCCGACCAGCGCCGTCACGTCCCCAATAGGTAACGCATCTCTCCTCAAGGTAAGCCCCTATTGTGCGGCGGAGGTAGGGAGGCACGCGATGGTAATTCAGCGCCTCCCGAATACAACTCCAGGGTAGGGTGTTGAAGGCGTTGGAGATGTCTAAGGACACCGCCAGCACCACCCCACCCCGGGATACTGTCTCCTCCGCCAGGGACCTCACACGCGTAATAGCGTCTATGGTGGAGCGCCCGCGACGAAAACCAAACTGGTTCTCGTCCAGGTCCGGCCCCTCTCTGCACAAGTGGCTGACGAGGCGATCTGCGACGATGCGCTCAAGAAGTTTGCCCGCTTCGTCGAGCAGCACTATGGGCCGGTACGCGGACGGTGAGTCCGCGGGGCGCCCCTCCTTCCTGAGCAGGACCAGCCTCCCCTCCTTCCACACACTGGGAAACTGACCCTGCTCGAGACATGCCGTGAAGAGCCCTCTCAGCTGGGGCTCTAGCTCCTTCAGAGCCAGGACGAGAGCTCGACCAAGAACTCCGTCGGGTCCGGGCGCTGTGTTCTTAGCCCGGAGTCGCGACACGGCCGCTCTCGTCTCTGTTTGCGTCACCTCGGGGACGTCGGTGCTCTCCTCTTCTGGAGAGTCTGTGGCTGAGGGCGAAGCCATCGCCGGGGGAACGTGTCCCACTCGCTCAGGGAAGAGAGCCGATACCACCGCCTCTAGCAACTGGGGTTGCATCGTTTGTGTTAGTGGAGGCGCCCAGGGACGCAACTTGCCCCGTACCCAACGGTAGGGGCGCCCCCACGGATCCCGATCTAGGGATCCCAGCAGCTCTTCCCTGGCACGCGACTTTGAGTCGCCGATGGCCAGCCACAGAGTCTCCTTAGACGCGCGGTACACCTCATACAGCGCGTCCTCCTCGGCGGGATCCCGTCGACGCCGCCTCCGGTATCGGGTGTACCGGCGACGAGCCGCAACGCACGCTATGCGCAATTGCGCGATCTCGGCGGTCCACCAGTACACCTGGCGCCTTGCGGACCCACCACCTCCCATGGCCCCACCGACCCTCAGGTCATACGGGCCGAATCTCGGGAGATGCGCGCGGTACTTGCACGTGGCTCTTTCCCGCGCGCACTTTCTTGACTCCCTACAAGTTATTTAATCTGTTCCTTGTCCCTGTATTTACGTCATTCTCCCCCTTCTGGGGCTGACGGCACACTGACGCCTACGTCGTCAGTCCTGTCTGCTAACATTCTGTCGCTACTTCTCCTGCGGTCATGCCATCTGTGCGCAAACTCGCGCAACAGCCTGTAGTTCACCTCACCGCTGACGAGATCCGAGTAATAGACCGGTCCCTGAACCGACCGAACTAGTCCATCCATCATTTTCGTTCTTAGGTCGGCATACAGAGGACATTCCCATAGAACATGGTGAACGTCCTCCTCTATCGCACCACACTCACACATACTTGTTTCACACAGTCGCATTTCACTCAGTCTCTTCCGAAAGCATCCATGTCCGGTGAGAATCTGGGAGGTTTGATAGTCCGGTGAGACCCAGGTATACCTGAGTCTCAACGCCACCTCCGGGAAGAATCGATTGAGCTCGCGTCCTTTGGCGCCTTGCGGACCGTTGGTGGACACGGGGCATGGACGCGTCGCAGATCTGCGTCATCGCCCCGCGAAACCATAGCGCCACCGCTTCGACGTCGACGGGGCCGTCCGTCGTCGACTCCCGAATCCAGGACTGGACTAGGGCAGCTTCTTCGAGTAGTTCCCTGTCGATGCGCTTAAGCGCCCAACGCGGGCCGTCGTTAATCGGGGTTGTTGGATGGCGGCCGCTCGCAGTCTGGGCAGAGACGTCGAACCGGATATACCGATGGTCCGACAGCGTCTCCACCTCTGCGGCGACACGCCAGTCGCGGACTCGGCTGGCGACAGAGGGGCTAGCAAACGAGACATCCACTATCGACCCACCCCGCTGCCGCACGCACGTGTATTCCGAACCCCGATTCAGGACGACCAGACCAGTCGTCACCGTCCACTCTTCTAACACCTCGCCCCGAGGGTCAGTGACCGGAGATCCCCACGCCGATGACTTGGCGTTGAGATCCCCGAGCACCAGAACGGGACGAGGGTGATAGCGGCCTACGACGGCGCCCAACTCGACAAGGAAACCCTCAAAGTCGGCGAGACTCTTGTTGGGGGAGAAATACGCCCCTACAATAACGATGCCGCCCGAGACCGCAGCAACCCAGCCGCGGCCCCGAGACGGGTCGATCAGAGTCTCGCCAATAATGGCCACCAAACCGTCAGCGCATCCCAACCAGTTGTCACGGGCGGGAATGAAGTACGGTTCGGCGACCACAGCCACGTGAATCGACCACTCTGCCATGCTCTGGAGTAGGAGATCCTGAGCTCTGGCACAGTGGTTGATGTTGCCCTGGAGAAAATGGAATTGTGCCATTATTGACATTCCATCCCCTCAGCAACGGTCCTGGGCCGGGAGTCGGCCGCGGAGCTGCTAGCCTGCGGGGGCAGCGAGGTTAACCCGGCAGGCTTAGTACTCCTTCTTTCTTTTCTTTTTTCTTCTTCTTGCTGGCAGGCGCCCCACAGGCCCCTCCGCCTACTCTGTGCTCCGCTGGCCTTCCCGCAGCAGAACAAAGGCTGCAGTTTAGCGCCGCGGTGCACAGGGCAGCCTTGTGGCCAGGCTGGCCGCAGCGATAACAGAGGTCACTACGGTCAACCTCGGCGGTGCACTTCGCCCGGACGTGCCCTTTTTCTAGGCACCGAAAGCACTGCAAAGCCCGGGGCTGTAAGAGCTTGGTCCTAGCCGCCACCCAGCCTACCAGCAATCTGCCGCTATCGGCGATCTTCTTCGCCGACGCTACAGGGCACCGAACCCAGACCGCGCCGAGTCCGGTGGCGTCGGTGCGTATATCGCCAGCCCGCACCTTGTCCGGCGGACACTCTCCGCTTCTGGCAACGGCCGCCACCACCTCCTCAGAGGTCACGGAGTCGTCCAGGCCAGCAATCCGCACCTCTGCGGTTTTCATTGGTCTGGAGACCCGGACGTCCTCAGGGTTGAGGACCTCCCTCATCTTGGCGGCCAGTGCGTCGGCCTTTTCGGCACTGCCGCTCACAGTGCCAGCCACCTCGAACAGCCGTGCACCCGTGGCAGCCTGCCTGAGGGTGACGGACTGAAGGCCAAGATCAGATAATTTGATCTTGGCCTTGGCCTCGGCGATGACCGACTGGTACGTCACGCCACGCTCCACAGCTCCAGGCTGCAACGTTATTGTCACAGCGCTGGACCGCGGATCATGTACAGCCGGTCTCTTGCGACCGCCTTTGGCAGTCCGCTGTGCAGGTTTAGGAGCCGTCTTTGTGGTTCCCCCTGGGGCACATGCGGCTGCTGCGGCCTTCTTGGCGGCTTTGCGGGCCTTCTTGCGGCCCACGACTTTCGCCCAGGTCTCACCCTTAGACCCGGCAGTCGTGGGCTGGTTGCTCGGAGGAGCTCCCTCCGCGGGCTTTTTATTACCCTCCGCGGGCTTCCCCTTTTGAGGCGCAAGTCTCGGCGGCTCCTCAGTCCTCCGCGTGTCAGCCGCTAAAGGCGGACGGAGGATTTCCACCGGGAGACGCCGAGAAATTGCCTCCAGCCGAGCGTTAACCATGCTCCCGCACTGGAGCATGCAGAGCCGGACAATGCGCTCGACCTCTTCGTCGGTACGAGGGCTTGCCGGTCGCAGTGCGGGAGTCGGGTCCACTACAGGTGCGGCATCGCTGGACGTGCGTTGCTGCTGCTGCTCGCTTAGCGCAGCAACTTGCCGCCGGAGGTCCTCCAAGTCATTTCTGAGGCGGCTGTTTTCCTCCTGTAACTTTGCGACCTCGTCAGAGGCCGTCCTGTTGAGGAGGATGCCAACCGCCTCCCTGATATCCGCGGCAGCCTCCTTTAAGCCACGGGTGAACGTGCCCTTCAGGCTGCCGGACTTGGTGGCAACCTTCAGGACTAAGTCCACCCCATCCAGAGCCAGCTGGCTTAAGGCCACCGCAGATGGCTCACCCCCTTCCGCCGCAAGAGCAGCTCGTCGCTCGCGAGCACGTCGGGCCATTTCCGACACTTCGTCGGCCGCGACGGCTTTGCGCTGCTCCCTCTTGGCGGCATTGAGCTCCGCCTTTGAGCTCCCCAGCGAGGCACAGCTTTCACCGCCATCGCCAGGGTCCTCCGTAGTGAACCCCATGTCACTATCTGCTTCACTAGCCGCCGAGGTATTGGAGCACACGAACCGTCCGTGCTTATCCCTCCGCGGCTGCGAAGCACTCGCCCCTCTAGATGCCTGCCGACCCCTCCCCGAAGTCGGCAACTTGGGGGCCGGCAGACCTTCCTCGTCTGACGATCGGCACACTGGACGTTTCCTAGCGGAAGACGTCCCACGCGATCGATTTCCGCCGCTTCCAGTATCAGATCCTGCCTGATTTTCTACCTCTACTGATTTTTTTAGATATTTTTCTCTTTCCATTTTTTATCCCACGAGTGTGGAGGAAATAACAGTCCATCCGAGCAGTGCCTCCTTTGCCCGGATAAGCCTATGCGTAACCCGTCAAGGGTGTCGGCCGGTACCCCGACGGGGGCAACGCTAACGACTGAACATTTACCCATCAGCCATGCAGCTCCTCACGGCGTGCCACGCTTGAGCTTCGGGTGATTTTTTAAAGAGGTTATCATCCTCGCGACTCCAGGCGGTTAAGCCAAGAGCCCTCGGTCCCTAAGGCGCCGCGAGACGTGATCCACGACACGCCAGAGGGAGTCCGAGGTTCGAATGGTGGCAGAGTCGATACGGGTTCTTCTCATGCCTGCCCAGAGACCGGGTTAGGGAACACTGAGCCCATTCAGTTTCCTTTTTTACAGGGTGTGGTCCCTGAAAATCCCGCGATTACGGGTTGCCCGGCGTCGGCAAAAGCCGAGTGCACCTGGCACCTCACCGCGCATGTCACATTCTCTGTTCCTCTCAAGGGAGAGGATACAGGAAGCAACTAATAGGCCCTCCGCTATGCAAAAAAGCCCTCACCCAGCCAGTTTTGGTCCGCGACGGTTTCCCGCTATCACCCATATCTGAGTGGCGTTCCCCTATCCGCCACCTGGGGACGCGCCCGATGGGAGCTCTGGCAACTCCACACGGGACCTATACTTTCTACCTAACTTATCATAAGGGCCAGTATGGGAAAGAAAATATTCCAATAGTATTAGAATTGCTGGAATATAAATAAAATGTCATAAATAAAATTGCTACGGCCCACAGCTGCCCCTGCAGAGGTCGCCTTGGCTAGGGCCCATAATAGCCTCCTCGACGGCCAGCCGAGGGTTCGGGCCCAAATGGCCTTATGGAAAAAATGACCTATCATACTACACAATAGGGAGAAGGCTAGGGAAATAAACAGTACGTACCTGGATCCGAATCTAAGACCGCCCCAAGGTTCGGTCAGGCCGTAGGTAGAGTAGATGCATGTAAAGTGGTGTTTAGTGGTGTGTATATGTGGGTGACATGGTCCAGCTGAGGTGACCTGGCAGCGGCCGGTTTCCATGCTGCCCCACAATGCTGCATCACTCCAGGAGGCGTCCCCAATGGACAATTTCTTTCTTCATTTCACTATTTCAGTCTACCAACTTTATTGTACATTTAACTAACTTCTACTCAACTAATTCAACGTTCATCGTAGAATCAAACACGTGATACCCGACACATGTAACGAACAGTAGTTCAAAGTTCAACATTCAATGTTCCGGATTCATTTATCACCAAATTACAAATAGGGAACTAACGCGATCTCTTCATGAGTCACAAAGTTCAGCGTTACAAACAACAACTAAACTTCTTCGTTCGATATTAAATACTACGCCGCAATAAGAATTCAAAATCAACCGTATCTCTCTAAAAATCTAGACCATAACCCAAAATCGGTCGCGCGAAACCTCTGCAGCGGTCACCGAGATACGCTAATTGACTGCACCGCTGCCCGCGAGCTACTGTCGTCAGCTCGCGCGTCGAACGACTGCCTGCGCCACGCGGCCGCCCCCTTCGCCATCGGCGTTACCTCACCTCGACACCATCGGGTGATTCGTTAAGTCCAACGTAATTGGGTGGCGTCTCAACTGACCAATTTTGTGGCCTAAACAAAAATAAAGTAATTAAATTTATTAAAACTCATCATTAGAAAACTATCCTGGCTATTGTTAACACTAGTTAAATTATAGTTAGTAAGCACTAGTTAGTTAAGTTATATCACAGAATAAGTTGGTTATATTAAATTATAACGAGTGAAGTTAGTCACATTTAATTGTCTTTGATAGCCTAAAATAGCGTCAGAGCTATGCTGCAGCTTATAAGCACTATATTATGGTTGTAATTATTAATTAGTTGTTTTATTGATAAATGTGGGTGTCCATGGGCCACAGTGTCCAATTACCATCAGGTGGACTGTGCTCATTTGTCACCCTTATTCTATATAAAAAAGAGCCAAGGCTATTTTTTTTTGATTTTTTTGGCTATAGTATATACCGATTTATTGATATTTCGATAAAACTGGCGCCATTCTTAACGCGTGTGTCCAGCGAGACGTACACTATCATACTGAACGGCAGGCGTGTGTGTAGAGACAGCTCCGATATTGCCCCGATCGTCGTGCTCCCTAGATTGCCCATGCGGCAGGCATGTCAGTAGCCGCCTTTAGTAAACTTAAAAATACCTAGGTATTCTGTAATACTACCAGTGTGGTATACAAATATATTTTTGTTATAGCCAAAAGAAGCAGAATGTACAGGTTAAACATCTTAGATTATTAATAAGTCTTATTAATAATCTAAGTTAAACATATAAATATAAAATAATCCTCAGTGTAGGTCTAAAATTAAAATTAAATTATCAGGATTATTAGAACCTGTTCGATGTAAGAATAATAAATGAATTATGTATAGTTAATATTAAAATAATAAGTGGAAATAAAATTGAAATATATAAAAACTAGTTCAAGTAGCATTATCAACAGCAAATCCTCCTCAAATTCAATTTAGTAATATTGTTCCTAAGTAAGAAATAGCTGTTATAGAAAATATTCATAAAGTGCTAGGTATAATTAAGTAAAACATCGTGCAGCGATACCAATGACAAAATCAAGCGTTCAGATGGTTCAGATATCATTATGCTTTGCATAGGTACCTACGTTGCATTGCGTACGTGGTCAGGTACGTCGGCGGCCCGTGTTGCTTAAAGCCGCGTCTCCACCAAAGTTTTGTTGTCAACACAACAGTTGCCAACACGTGTTGCCAACAAATGTTTCTGTAATCACCTAGTGCTGGCAACAAAACTTGAAACAATATCGGGAACCGTGTTTCCATTTTCGGCGGCAACATCAAAGGAATACGCTTGTTGCCAACATTTGTTCCCTCGGTGGAGACGCTTCTTGGAACAT